CTTTTTTTTTTTTTTTTTTTTTTCCAAAGGAGAATCTCATTTATTTCATTATGTTTTCTCCTTTTTTTCTGTTCATGTTGTGTCACCGGTAGCGGCAGCTTCGGCAAGGTTCGGCAAGGTTCGGCTTACCAGTAGCTATAGGGTCGGAAAAGAAGTACCTTTAGGTTCTTGTGGTTCAAGGTCCTGCTGCCAGCTGCGATCAGAGCAGACTGACACGAAATGACACAAGGTGACAGAACCGGAGGCATTGGTTGGTTCCAGAGGACATGGTGCCTCAATAAGCAACTGGCCTCGATCAGCCCAGAAGGAAAGCTGGTACTATGCAAATGGTTACAAGGAACAGCATCTGGGTAGTAGGGTGCTAATTGGAACGGGACAATTTCTCTCTCTCCCTCCCCCCGAAAATAAACAAAGAAACAGAGGCCCTTAGGGCTGCGTTCACCGCAGCACGGTCGGTAGTAGGGCAGGGCCCGTTGGCGGGGCTTATACCTCGCGTTTCAACGAAGGTCCGCCGGAAGGCCGAGCGGGCCTATCGGAAAGGGCCCTATAAAGAGGAAGCAAGCAACGTACGAAAGGTTCGTCTACCAGTGCTTGGCATTCAAATGAGGGCAATGAGTGCATAAGCTAGTAGTGGGCCACAGTAGAAGGTTCGGAAAGGCTCATGCTCAATCTTCTCGCCACGGGGCTTCAGGCTGCCTTTATTGGTGCGACGATCCAGGGTGAGGGGGATCTCCATCGCTGAAGGGCGAAGGTGTAGCAAAGGGACTCTTCGTCCACGATTCGCCATAGCACATGCTACTAGCTGTAGAAGGTGTCGAGTTCACTTCTGCGCGAATGAGGTATTGCCCCTCGCGCAGGTTCGTGCGCTGCTGCATTATCCATCTCCTCACTGATTTCGACGCGCCGCCAAGCCTCTCTTCCCGCGTCTTCCCGCAAGGTGCGAGCATTGCTGGCCCAGGCGTTTCACTTTTCGAGGAAGAATCGGGCTCCAAGCTGCGATAATCATGCAGGAAAACATCCCTGCTGGGGTGGAGCCACAGTCACCTCTTCCGGCTATGGCGGCAGCTGGAGGTCAAGGCTCGATGCCGCATAGAGGGGGCTCGTCGCCGGTCGTAAATGGAACATCTCCTGGGTCGAAGTCTCCTTCTGTACTTCTTCCTGTCGCGCCTCCAGGTACGGTTCCGCTTTATCCCGCTGCGCCTCTTCCTCACCGCGTCTCTACTGTTCTCTACTCGGCAGGCTATTGTGCTCCTAGGCCGCCATCTAAGGCAGGCTATTGTGTACCTATGGGTCTTCCCACCTCGGTTACGCGGTGGAAGTGATGGATTCTCAGCTGCTCGTGTTGTTTCCTTTAATGAACCAGTTCGCTGATAAGTTTCTATGCCGGATGTAGCATGTCCCGCTGCACAGGCGTAATGGGACAGATTCTGGGGGTGGCGATCAATCGGTCGAGAAGTTCCGCGTAGATGCATAAGCCTGTGGGGGTAGTAGTGAGGGTAGTACGATATGATGTCAAATCGCATCAAACCCCTTTCAAGTGTGATCAACTGGGCGAAAGAGAAAGTGGGAAGAGGCGAAGTGAAAATGAGCAGGCAATGCCCTTGTGCTTGTGGACTTTGTACAATACGATTGCGTCGCGCGCTTGGTGTGAGTGCTGCGCATCCTGCCTACGCCTCCGTATTTAGGGCGACTGAAATCGACCACGAATCGTTTGTATCTTCCTCGTCTCTGCTTCTGTAGATACATCTTCGATCACTAACGAGGGCGGGAATATTGTGGTCGATCGGGGGGGGGGGGGGGAGAGGGCTTGTGGGGGGGGGGGGGGGGGGGGAGGGGGGGGGGGTGTGGGGGGGGGGGGGGGGGGGGGGGGGGTAAGTCTCGGCCAACAGGTGCTATATTTACTATACCTTGCTGTCGATACGGCGTGGGTTTGGAAGATGAGGTGTCGATATGGAACCTTGGTGCGTCTTGCATGTCGGAAGTGCCGCGTTCTATTATTACTGTCTCGGCCTGGAATCTTGCTTTGCCTTGCGGCTATCACAGTCATGAAAGTAAACACGAATTCTGCCCCCACTTGGTGATGCTGTTTGTCCTAGTTTGAAGAGCGCCACTCTTGCTGAAGCTTGTGGTTTGGTGTTGCGTGTGTCTCGAATGTCATTTTTGTGCGTGTGACTGATATGTCGCCAATCGTTTCACGTTATGTGCTTCTGGGCTGCTTTGTGAACAGATCCCAGTCTTCTGGGCGGAAGGTCTCAGGACTTCGTGAAGCTATTCGTGGGGTCTGTTCCAAGGAATGCGACCGAGGATGAGGTGCGTCTTCTCCATGGAATCAGGACCTCGGGGCGTCTCCCTTCCCTAATGGTTTTCATTCCCTATCTTTTCTTCTTACACAGCTCTGTTGAGAGGCGGTGTCTCTAGTTTTCAAACATCTTGTCCTTAGTGAATATCCGCTAGTGTTTTTATCCGGGTACCGATATGTTCTGAGAGTCCTCTCTAGTGGTGAATTCCAGTCTCTCCTCGGAGAGTGCTTCTGTCGTCCGCTCCGCCTGCTTCCTGACGTCTGCTGTGTCTCGTGGCTCGAGCTTTGTGGCGTCGTGCCTCTCGATGTCTGGCTCCGTCTTGTGCTGTAGAGACTGGGGTGCGATGCTTCGTGGCGCTCCGAAGCACCGCGTAGCACCCCGCCGCTTAATGCTGTCGCTTTTTGCGTGTGCTGTCCTTCTCTTTGGCATGGAGTCTAGCTTCTGCCCTGTAAGAGCTGTGCGGATGGGTCTCTTCCACGCTGAACTTGAGAGCAATGTTTACGTCGCCTTGCTGCATGCCGCCCTTCCTGTGTGCCTCATTCAGCGGATACACCATCACGAAGGCAGAACAGAGCATTGCGGACACTCCTACGCAAAGATAGAACGTCTTTTGTGATTGTGTATCCACTTCTGTGCCGCTTGGCGTCCTTGCGGATGCCGAATTTGGTTGGCTGTGCCAGATAGGGTCTGGACTGCGGTGCCCTTTGGGGTCCGCGGTTTCGCTCCTTGTGGCGTCACAGTGTATGTGACGTGTAGTACTGCCTAAACCCGGCCCTGCGCGACGGCACTGCAATGCCTTGCCTTCGGTCTCTCTCTCTGCCAATGCCATATGGCTTTCACCTTTTTTTCCCTTCGCCTTGTCTCTGGTCATCTGCTCGAGCATCGCCTTTCTTTCGGTCAGCACATTTCCTTTCCCTATCTAGAATCTCTTGCTTACGTTGTCCCCTTCCACTCCCTCGAGGTCCTCCTCTTTCAGGTCTGTTTTCCTTTTGTGTATGCAACTCTTTTCTCTGTTCCTTTTCCTCTTCCCATACTCTTCTCCGTCCTGCTGTCGATTTTTATCTTGTCTTCTCACGCCTCTTCGTTCCCGCTTCTCCTCCTCTTCTGGGTCTTCACTCCCGCTTCGCCTCCTCTCTGTTCCCAATTCCTAAGTGTCCCTTTTCCCACCTCTCGTGCTGCCTTCTTCTGTTTTTCGCTCGGTTTCTCCTGACACTCAGTTTCCTCTTCTTACGGCTGATTCGCCTCTCGCCTGTGGCTGTTATCTCCCGCCTTCATGACGTTTCCATCTCCTCGCTTATGCATTTCCTCTGTCGCCAATGATTCTCGTGTTCCCCGACTCTTTCCGTCAGCCCTGTTGTCCTTTCTCGTCTGCCCTTGCTCGTCTCTGGGCTTCTCCGTGTCATCCGTTGTGTATGCTGTTTCCGTCCTCCATTCTCGGTCTCAGCTGCCGCCGCCCGTCTCTGCCCCCGCCCTCCGTCTCTGCGGCCGGCGCCCGTCTCTGGCGCCGCCGCCCGTCTGTGACACCGCCGCCAGTCTGTGCCGCTGCGCATCTGCTGTCTCCACCCGTCTCTGCTGCCGCCACCCCTCCCTGACGCCACTACCCATCTATGCTGCCGCCGTCCTCCCGTGCCGCCGTCGCCCGTCTATGCCGCCATCGTCCGTATCTGCCACTGTCGCCCTTCTCTGGGGTCCTCCTCGGCCGCTGTCGTGATTAGCTTCGGCCATAGTCAGTCGCTCGTGCCGTACCCGTCCCATCTGCTGTTGTCTTCCTCCTTCTGTCGCCCACCCTGCCGCTGTCGCCAACCTCTGATGCTGTCGCCCCCTTTGCTTGCTGTCACCTACCTGTGCTACTGTCGCCTGTATCTGCTCTGCTCTGCCCGCCTCTGGTGCTGTCGCTCGCCTCTGCTGCTGTCGCCCACGTGTACTGTTGTCGCCTACGTCTGCACTGTTGCGCCCGCCTCTGCTGCTGTTAACTGCCAGTGCTGCTGTCGCCCGTCTTTGAATTTGTCGCGCATCTTTACCTTGTCCTTCGTCTCTGCTTCTGGCACCCGTCTCTGCTGCTGGCGCCCATCTCTGTTGCTGGGGCGCCTTTTGGTATCTCCTCGTCTGTTGTTGTACTGTCTCTGCTACCCCCCCGCTTTTCTGCTGTCACCGCGGCTCGGCTGTTTTGTGGTCTCTTTGTCGTCTTTCTGTGCAGTCGCTGCTCTCTGTGGTTTTCCATTTTCGCGGCTACTCGTATTTGCCATCGCCTTTCTCTTCCCTCACCTGTCTGCTGGTGCCCGTCTTCGCTGTTGCTCGTCTTGTCTGTCCCGTTTCTCCTCTCAATCTCTCCTCTACAGCCGTCTCTGTCCTTTTTCCTTTTTCCCGTTCTTCACACCCCCGGCTGCCCTCTTCCCCGGCTCTCCCAAGCTCTTCTCCTCATTTTCTACCACCGCCGTTTCTCTTCATCCGGTCCCCCCTTCTCCCCTCCACCCGCGTTTCCCCTTTATCCCTTCACCAGGTTGCTTCCCTGTTTTCTCTGTCCCCGCCTCTTGATGATCCTCATGGTTTCTTCGCTTTCGCTTCGCCTTCAGCTCTCCAGTCTGGCGGTGTTGCTTTTCTCACCTGTGTTCTGCCCCTGCTGCTCCTGCATTCGTTCCGGAGTGTAGCGTGCGCATCGTTTCTCCACGGTTCCCCTGCCACGTGCCTCTCTCTACTGCCTCGCCTGTCCCTTGTGTCCTTCTGCATTTTGTATCTCCCAATTTCGCCGTCCTCTCAATCAATTCAATTGAATGAATAGGTTGAGACTTTCCCGCATATCGGGAAGTAATAAGGTTAGAGATTACTCCGTCTGACACCATCGAGTTCACCACTTTCATCGGCGAACAACCGAACCCTCTGGACCTCGACCATCCATCATTTCTATTACCCCTCTTTACCCCTCCTACTCTCCGTCGCCTCCCGTTTGTGTTTCGTGCTGTTTTTCTTTTAGTTCGTTTGATCGTGGCTCTTCTACGTCTGTTTCCATGCTTTCCCCTTTCAACAGAACGGAAACCTCCTGTGCGCTAGTCGACACCTTGATGGCGAATCTCCACGGCCGCCGTCTCGGGGCAGGCGAGGGCTCCAAGGGCTGAATGGGGCAACCCCTTTAGGCTACATGGGCGAGGTATCCGGACACAGAGGATCGCTACTCCCGCAACAGGCGATGGGCATTTGCGCAACTCCGTGGTGGACGAGATGATCATGCTATAGATGGGCTGATGGTCGCTGGCGCCTCGAATAGGTCCCTATCTATCCTGGGGAAGGATGAGGGTCCACCCTGAGATTGCCACTCGGAATGCAAGAGTTACCCTCCGGGATCATCGCGGAAGCAAGGTATTGAGTGGAATGGCGAGGCAACCATGCACCGATTCCGACCAGTTCGATATTCCTTGAAATTGATGCGGATTCTCGCAAGGCTCACTGATCATGAGAGACCTAAGTGGCGCTTGGGCGACATCCAGTCGTTGGGGTCCCTCTGCTTTCATGCCCGGCCCCGCGTACATCATCCCGTCAACTGCGATGATTGGGGGACGTGTGGCGCTTGGGCGACATCCAGTCGTTGCGCGGCGTCCAGGCCTGGCGCAGCATCCGGGGCCCTAATGGCAGAGCCTCCTCGCTCCGACCGTGGCTTACCCTTCTTCGGAAGTGGTGCTCGGGTCATGCCCACAGCGCGTTCTGCTCTCGCTGTGTGCGGCATCTTTGGCCCGCGTTGCTTACGGCATCTCTCCGCACCTCTCTCAGCGTTCTCTGCCCTATCTCCAGCACCTGGCGTTCCTGGCATCAAATTTTTGGGTATATAATGCGGGGCGCCACTCTGGTGGCCGAATCGAATAACCTTTTCCACAGCACCACCGAGTTCGGGTAATGCGGGGCGCATCAGGTCTCATGTCATATGGTCGCGGGCATTTCGCTTGCGTCCGATCCACTTGATTCTCCCATTCCGCCGATAATGACGTACTCTGCGCGATGAGTGCGTTTGGCCTGCCAGTAATGAGCCTGATGATGGATGTTCGAGTCCTGAGCGCGAAGGCCGCGCGCGTTTTTTTGGCGGGGGAGATTCCGATTCCGGTTGTGTGCGCAATGTTGCGCGATGGTTCCCTTATCCATCATGCTCCGATACTGTATCCTCACCTGCTGCGCTCGGCTCCTCTCGCGGCCGCGTACAGCTCTGCTCCCGGCCTTTTGTTTCTCTATCTGAATCGTCTTTTCAATCGTTCGTGCTCAGTTTTCTTAGTCCTTGCAAATGCAGGTTTGAGTTCTCTGTAGCACGGATGATTGCAGCGAGATTAGACTTTCTGGACCTGAATCGCTTTGCCCGCGAGGTTTCTCTTTGATGGTGCTTGATGAATGAAACAATGATAGGTTTTTGCGAGGGGCCTCATGGCTCGTCATTGCGTGAGGGTTGGGAACTTGACATTATTTCGATGTCTAAGGTGAGATGGGGCTGTTTCGCGACAACTGTGCAGGGAGTCCCGATGAGGTGAAGTGATGCTGTTTGGCGACAATTGTCCCGGCGTGCCTGGAGCGACGAGTAGTAGATGATATGCGAGTCTGCGGTTCAAAATGAGGGGAGAGTTTGGCAGTGTTGGGGAATGGGGAATTGCTCCCCTTCTGTTTGAGGGTTGGAGACCGGATCGTCTTTGCTGATCTTTTAATATCTTTTTTGCTAGCAACGATATTTGGCAGGTTAAGCAGTTCCAAGGCTTCAGATGTAATGGCTAAAGGGAGAGAAAAAGAGTTAAGCTTTCTTAGGTTAACCTACGAGTAGTAGTTAAGTTTTGATTGGTTACCTCCTATTGCTATTCCGAGCAGTCAAAGCGGCTGGATGGAGAAGGATTGGGAGAACGGGAAGGGGTTTAGTTTAATAGACGGAGAGTGAAATTGCAGTTGCGGTCTGAGAGGGAGAGGGGCACCATACCACATGTGCTTGTGGCGGACAGAATGGAGACCTAGTCGGAGCTACGGTTTCTCCATGGATGGTAGAGTTATGCAGAAATCTCTCATGTCTGTGCAAGTCTGATGCGGCGTGACTTCTACCATGACGGCTTTTTTGTATGCATTTTCAGTGACGAGGTGAAGGAATCCTGCGTATGTGAGGTTTGTTCATGCTTCCGACTTCTCTTTGAAGGGATTCAGTGCAAGGAGTGTGATCTTCTGGAACCCTCGTTATTCTAATCTCGGCACTCACCGGGGCGGGAAGAAGAAGTCGCCTGCGAACCACCGGGGCGGACAGTACGCGGTAGAATACCACAAATGTTTCTTTGTTCTTATGTGTCGGTGAAAATCTGAGGAAATAGTATGGCACAGTCATGCTTCTTTGTTTGGATTTGTGTATAGCGAACATTACACACTTACACACACAGAGAGAGAGAGAGAGAGAGAGAGAGAGAGAGAGAGAGAGAGAGAGAGAGAGGTGGTGGTGGTGGTGGTGGGGGGATTGGAAATGGCGATATGGGGGAGGACGGACTGGTAAGGTAAAGCAAATATGGAAAGGGGAGGTAGTGCTGATGAAAGGTAGAATGACATTGCTTGTAAATTGCTTACTATTTTGATGCTGTTAATTTCGGTTTTCTGTTAATGACACTGATCTCATCTATGTTGTTGCGTTTTATGTTCTGTACAGACTCTGAGAACTGTCCGTTTGCAAGAGTATGCTAATCTGACTTCGTTCGGGTTCGTTTTGCGTTGTGTAGCTTCGCGATTTATTCGGAGAATTCGGTACCTTGCTCGAAGTCGCTGTGATCAAGAACAAGGCAACGGGGCTGAGCCAAGGTACGTATTCTCGGTGGAATGGCTATGTAATCGATTGCGGAGAGTAGTATTTCGAGTTCGGGAATGGCCCGAAAACTGATTTACATCTTCTTTCGACTCATTGAGTTGAGGAGGTTGAGGATGTTTCATAGCGAGAGACGAGCACAGGGGTCCACTTTTTGCGAGGGAGCAAATAACTTCTTCAGAGATCGCATGTCCTTGTACAAGACATCGGACGCCCTGGCGTAGTGTAGATGCCCGTGTCGGGAAGATGACTCTTTGCTAAAGCAATCAGGGCATGGGATCACAAAAGAGCAAGCCCGGCGGAACTTGGCGAAGGCCATGCCATAGTCTCTCAGAAACACGCTAGCTGCAGACCCAGAGCACGAGAGGATGCCGTACCAGAATTATGCCCAGAAGGCTAGACACAGGAGTTAGGCAGAGTTTTATTCCGCTAGTCGAAGTCTTATTTCTGTATTTTAGCAGTTCATGGGTATACCGACTGACCTAGGCTCGTTGGTCGTAGTCTTAGTTCAGCTATTCTAGACTTCAGAAGGTCCTTTTATAAGTTATGACATCGTTATGTGGGTCTTCATGGCTTTGTCTTTCGGGGGCAAATTTGCCAATCTGGATATTCATGCCTTTGTCTCTCCGGGGCAAATATGCCAATGCCGCTTGTCGTTTCCTGAGTTTCCACAGTTCATTGGGTATCTGTAACGGTGTGCTGGTGATGCAAGAGTACACATGCATAAGGAGGGTCTTTGATAGAGTTGTCCAGGTGACGTTCGGGAACCGTAGTGAAAGCTGATTTGTGGTCCGGCGAGGACGTGTTTTGTTCATGCGGACGGGTGTGTTCTGGTAGGATCGTTTTCCCCGAACACAATCCACACTCATCATGACTGTACCCGACCGGAGAGATGGTACACATGCATAAGGAGGGTGCGTCATGTTTGGGGTGAGACGGTGGAACTAAGGGAAGCGGTTTTCGTACCTTTTGGTATGACTTGGCGCATGATAGATGTTTTGTCTTTCTTCTCGTGTTTCCGCTATTATAGAAAGAATATATAGCGCTGTTCTCGGACTCCGCGGTTATCAGAGTCCGTCTTAGAACATGCGGCGCGAAGGCCTGGCTTGAATAGAACTGCGACAGTTTTTTTACATGCTGTGTTCTCGCGAGGGTGAACAGATTGGAGCTGTTTCCCCTCGATGAACCGGGCCGCCTTTGTTTCTTTTTTAATTTTTAAAGACATACACGGCACTGTGTAGGAGAGTGCAACCCTACGTGCGCTTCGGCGAGCTGTGAGGTACTGTGGTCCCCCCTCCTGTTTTATCCTCTTTTTCGAGGGGGGAAGGGGGCGTTCCTTTACCAAAGCGGAGCTTGACATGTGGATTATCTGTTACTGGGTGCCCTCCTTACTGGATCTCATGTAGCGGGTGATGACTCCCCGTTTATTCCGTCGACCGTACATCTCTTCGGCAGCCCTTCCTCTTTTCGTTTTTCCTTTTCGCTTTTTTCTTGTCAAAAGAGAGAAGCAGAGATCCTTTCGGAGCATAATAATACTACAGCTAGGATTTCTTTTTCCTGTTGGTGGAGGTTATCTATCTTGTCAATTCCCTGCAAGGTTGTGCTGTTAGTATTATCGGAGCTAAAGCAGCAGACTGTTCGTAAACGCCGTCGAAATAAAATGCGGTAAGTGCATGTTTTTTGGGTCGTCCTAGCCATTGTGCGTCGGCATTTACAATTCCGTTTGAGCATTTGGTTGTGGCAAAATATGCCTTTTGTCCCATTGAATTGGAGTCACAGCGGGTGCTGTCCGTTTTGTGACATGCCAGTCATCTCCTTCTTTCTACAACCGCTCTGTGGAACTCGGCTGAGCGCGAGTGGCACTGGTTTTTCAGTTTTTCGTTGACCGATGTTTGATAAGGATCTAATCTCTGTCCTGTTCGGCAGAGGTGCCCATGACAGGGAGCATTTTGTCAGAGTCTGTAGTTAGATGGTGGGGGGAGGCGCTGGCTGGTTCACGCCGGGTTGGTGTGCTTAATTCTTGGCTTCAGGAGCTTTTTTATAGTTTAAGTGATACTATGAAAGCTTTTTTTATCCTTTTTTTTCAGGCTGGGTTGTTAACGGGACTGACTTTTGTGTAAAAAATACTCATGGAGAGCAGCAAGAGTGTTCAGCAAGTTTGGTTTTTGGTGAGCGCACTGAAGCCATTGATGGATCTCAGTGCAGAGATGGGTATTGTTGTATTATCTCAATGGCTCACTCACATTAGTTGTCGTCTTTGCGGGTGTATACCACCAAACGATGTGCAGACGGCAATCAAGGAAGCTCGAGTGTGAGTGTACGCCGAGTGTACGCCGTTAGTACTGTCGCATCCGACAATAAAATGAGAGATCTTCTGTGTTGATTTAGATACGAGGTGTGATCAATGACCGGGAATATATGTCAGATTCACCGACTTTCTCAGGTACAGTAGGTCGAGCAATATTTAACCAACAATTCAGATCTACTTTACAAAGAAAAGTGATTACTCATCAGACGGAAAATCGATTCCTTCCTGATGCTTATATCGTGTGTTGATTCCCACACGAGGTGTGATCCATGACCGAGAACATATGTCAGATGCACCGACTTTCTCAGGTTGGGCTCTGCGCGTTTATGATCTAATCTTATTTACATCAGACGGAGAATCGATTCCTTCCTCATGCTTATATCGTGTGTTGATTCTCACACGAGGTGTGATCCATGACCGAGAACATATGTCAGATGCACCGACTTTCTCAGGTTGGCCTCTGCGCGGTTATGATCTAATCTTTGCTATTCTAGCAATGCTCCACTTCGTTGTTGTAATTATTGAAGAACAGGTCTGAATGCTGCTCAGCCGCCTTCCAGTCGCTGTGACATAGTCGCTCGCTGTCCCTCTGCTCTGATGTCTCCCCCAATGACATGGGTATTGTGATTGCTATAGTTTTTTCGATATATTCTTCCTTGGGTTTAGTTGGATTGTCACCATATTGTGACCACAGCACGTGCGGCGAGCGGCAAGCGTCTTGCATTGTTTAATTATTTGGCAAGCATCTTGCCTTTTTTTATTATTTCGTCGTTTAGACGGGATCGGTTTGCCGGTGCCACATGCTTTTGGAATAGCCCTGGCTGGTACTCTCCACAAGTAACTTGTAGTGTACTGCTCCACCCGAATAACGACTCATTTCTGCGTCCGGGTGCATGTCGGCAGGTTGTCGGTCAGTCGGTCATTCTTTTATGGAGTCATTTCTGCTTCCGGATAGACGTCAGTCATGCTTTTATGCATTGACAAAGGGCGATAGTTTTCTCTTTTCCTTCTACGTATATACGTTCCCTTGAAGCGTTTCAGGTTTTGATGATATGAGCAAAGGTGAGAGTATTCGATGGAAACTTCTCGCCCGATGCTTTCCAGTTCCTGTCAAGCCCGATGCTTTTCATTTCCTCCGGATTCTCTTACTCTGTTGTCGCTCGGTTCCCTGTATGTAGTGCACCTCAATCATAAGGCTGCAGCCGATGTAGAGGAGGTGCAATGCATGTAGTGAAAAAATTGAAGCATGTCAGCCGATGTAGAGGAAATCCAACAAGTGAATTTGAAAACTTGAAGCATGTCAGAAGTGGGCTGTTTAACTCTTCTTTTGAGGCCCGGTTACCTATCCCCTCTGGAGGTGACTGTTGCTAGTGGGGGGCCGTTCTGGCTATTCGGATGGAACAGGTAAATGGATTCTAATGGCACTGGTCGTGAACGTAATAGGCTGTATGAATATTTGAGGGAGTTATGTTAAGCAGTCTGTGGGTGCTGCCACGTGGGAGCATGGTGGCCCTCAACGTCCCGAAATTGGCACATCCTAGATTGCCTTCTCTGGAGCATAATTGAGCTGCGTGTGTTTCCCAGCTTTTAGAACGGAGAAAACACGTTTTTAGGTTCTGTGCAAAGTTTTTGTATGTAGTTGCGATGCTGTCATTTCGGATCGCACCCACGGAGAGCATTTTTTGGACGGGCGCGTCCTTTGTGGATTCTTTCTAGCTGATGCGTGCTTGCACGACGTTTTTGAAATAAGCCGGGTGCGTGCACTTGTCAGACGTTGATTACGTTGAGATGCGGAGTTATGAATTGCGAGACTGATCGTGAGCAATTTATTAGACCAGGGTTGATAGGGTACGACAGGAGAGGGCTTGTGTTGCCTTGAGGTCTCTGGGATCAATGGACACCTGCTGAGAGGGTTCTTATGTTGTTGAGGTTGACTTGCGAATTGTAAGAAGGGAAAAGCCTCTCAGAAAAGAGTTACGTGGACATAGAGATGGTCTGATGTTATCTATTTGTTGCAGGGGATAGTGCGCTGACTGTGATTGTTGTCTTGCTGGGATGTAATCATGATGCATTTCGATGTGCACCTCTCTCTTTTGAGAATGACCGCTCCAGCTCTAGAAGTGTGGCTTACGTGGATGTAGTCTGTATGCCCGTGAAGGTGTGATTCAATGGAGGATGGATAGCTAGTGTGCATCGAGTCAAGCGTGCATATTCTGATGCAATGGGAGCAGGTCTGGTATAGGTTTTGCACTTTTGTTCTTAGCATGCTTTGCTGGCATGTAATAATGACGAATGGATGTGTGCACTCACTGCGCTGCTTTTTTCTTTTTCGAGATCGTTTGCTCTAGAACTTCTAATGGCTTACTTGAAGGTAGCCTCTACGCATGAGTGTGCTCATGTCAATTGGGTATGGATAGCTGCTGTGCACTTGACTTGAGTGAGCATATTGTGACGCTGTGACATCTAGGGCTTGTAGGTGTTGCATTTGGCTTTCCTAATCTTTGCTGGGATGTCAGCATGATGGATGGATGTGTGCGCTTGATTCTTTTGTTGTCACAATCGCTCTGGAGCTTTTATTGGCATTCTTGGAGTGTGGGCATTGATGCGCTGGCATGTGGGGCTTGAATAGGCTTGGCGGCTGGGTCTCTTACAGTCTTTGCTGGGGCATCGTCATGATGGATGGATGTG